CTATTAATGGTACCAAACAAACAGGAACTGCAATATGTTTGATGGAATCTGGGGATCACAGGGCACAGTGACCTTAGGAAAAAAACAGTTTCCTTGATTCGTGACCCCAGTCCCTGGTCCAAAGTGATGACTGCATCATTCTTCCCTTCTCATCTTATATATATTCTAATTTCACCTCTAGAATTAGAAATTATCTGTAACTATATGAAGCCTTACAGCACACTGGCACTTGGGCCTCTGAGAGGTCAGAGTAGATGTTGATGCTGATACATTTCTTGAATCGAAGGGAGAACAGGCTGATGGCCTCAATTTCCCCGTGGGGCAGGAGGCAAAAGAAAAAAGGGAGAGCAGGGAAGGCCTGGAATTACATTCACAGCATGCAGGGCCAGTGGAGGTAAGGATGCTGGGGAGCATTCAGGCCCCGGTTGGAGGTGCTTAGAGAAGACTGAACCTCTGAGCTAGAGTTGGGCATGTGACAGCAATAAGGCACTTGGAAGGAGGGGATTTTTTCCTTGAGGCAGACTTGTGTGGCTGCTAATGGATGTGTTCCCACACGTGGGTGGGAAAAGATTGCTATGTTCTTCAAAGATTAGAAATAAAAATTTTGAGAAAAACTTTAGAGATGAAAACTTCATGCATATTAGAGAAGGTTTATACATGAGCTTTTAATTTTAAAAGTCTTACTGTTTTAAATGTAACAGACAGAAGGCTTAAGCACTGCAAACTACACAACTCATGGCACACACATTTCATTTGGCTACGGACAGAGTTACATACTTAGGGTTCTCCCTATTATTAAGGGATGTCTTTGAGACCAGGGGTGAGATATTTATGAGGAGGGTATGGGAAGGTTTCTGCATTTCTCTAGAACTGTATGGACCGTGGAGGCAGCAGCTAGGAGAAAGAGCTACATCAGAATTTGGGCTTGTCATAACCTCCTCAACGTGATATATCTTAATGTTTTTCTCAGCACAAGCTTGACTTTAACAATAACTCTAGAAAAAGGGGTCTTAATAATAAATCACAATAAAAACCAACAGAGGTTTCTTGTGACCTCACCACTATAGCTCTTCCCTCTCACAAGCCTGTCAGAGCATCTAACTAAAAGCACTTAGAGAGAAGATGCTGGAATCTGGCTGTGCCCTAGAGACAAAAGGCACAGAGCCTTTCAGAAGCCCCCTGGATCTTCCTTGGCAGGAGTCAGGACTCTGCACTGGCCAAGAGGGAAGTTTTCTGGCTGGGGGTGGGGATGGTCAGGGGACAACAGGAAAAAGTGAAGAGGTAGTGGCCAGGCAATGTAGAGAAGGACAGCAATGAAATCGGGTTTGCCTGGCACACAGTTCTGCCAGGGCTGATGGAGAGCTGAGGGAGAGTCTGGAGAAAGCCACTGGATTCTCATCTAGAGGAAAGGCATCTTTAATAATTAACAAATGAGAAAAGGCAGAGAGTCAGTAATGTGACCCCTTGCATTTTGAAACTCTGAGCAAATGGCCATGCCTCAGCAGCCTGCAGCCACATTTACAGGCTCCCCTACGAAGGAAGGCTGAGAAGTCTGGGAGAACATAAAAAAAAACTATTGAAACCAAAGGAGACTTACAACCACGTCAACCTAAGACACATTTGATGAGAGCCATGATTCAACACTGGATGTATGGAAGGCACAAATGGAAAAGAGTTCCTATTAATTACTAAAATTGGCAGGTCAGACCAACCTAAATTTTACTTTTTCTCTTCTCAGTTTGTTAATACTCCAGTATCTATAATCAACAACACAATGCTGTTTTCTTTTCTCCCACTATCTACTGAAAAAAAATCAGACTCATGCTTTCATGTGTAAAAAGGCAAAGACACTTGGTCCCAGGATACTTTCTTTTACTCCAACCTTCATGTCCTTCCTTATTTCAGTACAACTCAATGTGAGTTCAATGTGAAGCAGGGAGATGGGATAGGGAAAAAGGATAGCTTCAATCTCTGCTCTGCTCTTTGTCAGCTGTGTGACACTAGACACTTACTCAGTCCTTCTGAGCCTTGACTCATCTCAGTGAAAATGTTGAATGCCAACAGGAGAGGTAGGGAAGGACTGGCCAATGAGGCAGAAGGAAATCAAGGAGAGTGTGACACACAGAAGCCAAGAGAAGAAAGTGTCTTCAGGAGGGAGTGGTCAAACATGCTGAAAGTTGCTGCAAAGATGGGTAAGAGAAGTTCCCACAGCAGCTGGCACCATGGAGGAATGCATCAAGACACAGACCAAGATTTCTAAATTGTTCCTGGTCCATCACTTCGAAATCATGGGATATCTTTAAAAAAGAAAAGAAAAAGATAGCATCATTAATTACTGCATTGTTTTAAGAAACTTCTTTACCAAGGTCTTATTTGCGTATTAAAACAAAACAAAGTCTGGGAACAAATTTTCACAACTCTGGTTCTACCTCTCAGTTTCAGCAATTTCTAGTTTCTCTGTGTCCATGTGAGGGAGAATCCTAAGGGATGAGAGTAAAAGTAAACCTCGACCACATAACTCAAGGTGGGTTTAGAAACATTTCCTCTTCCTTGTAAGTGCATCTGATAACAATATTTTCCATAATGACGTGCAACAGGTCTTTCAAATGCAGTCATTTCATGGCTAGCCTGAATTTAGACAAATATAATTTCTGAATACTAAGACAAAAACAAATGCCATAATAAGCTTCGAGGAATGAAAAAAAACTGAGTCCAAGAGTGACAGGATTGGCACAGTTACACAGCTTGTGCATAAGCATGTGCCTGCATCGGCCACCCTAAAACAAACCTCTCTGACTTTCATCTGCTTCCGTCGGAGCACAACTTCCCTCACAAAGTCCATACTCACTGTCTCCACTTTCTGACCACCCATTCACTCTTGTACCAGCTCCAATCTGACTGCCTTCTCCATCACTCACAAATAAATGCACGCATGTCAACATCACAACATCTTTATGCGGTCCAACCCAAAGGTCACTTCTCTCCCTCCCCTTTACACACCCCTCAGCAGCATCCAATACCCCTCTCCCACCTTCTTCACCTTCTGTCCTGGCTTCTGGTGTCCAGGTTTTCTCTACACTAATTTCCCCAGCTCCTCTGCTGACTCTTCATCTTCCTCTCAAGCTCTTCTCTCACTTTCCTCTCTCCTTGGTGATTTCAGTGTGCTCAGATTTTAAAGTATTTATAGGCCAAATGTTCCAATCTCTCCAGTGAGCTCCTGACTTGTAGACCCCACTGAGTTCTCAATATTGGACAGCTATTTGGGCATGTCAAACAGAATGCACGCAAAACTGGAATCTTTGCTTTCCCCTCCAAAGCGTGTCCCTCTCATAGTCTGTGCTATCTCACTCAGCTGCTCAAGTCAAAAGCCGAGAAATCATTCTGGGCACTCTCATTTGCCTTTTCTCCACATTCGATTGACCGTAGGCCTGCCAGTCTCACTGCCAAAACATGTCTCAAACAGGTCTGCTTCTTGTATCTGTCACTGCCACCACCAGGAAACCTATTATGGATGACTGCAGAGTTCTAACCCTGCTCATTGCTCTCTATGTGCTGCCTGCATCCATTCAACACAAGAGCCAGAGGAGCACTGTAAACCCACAAGACAGAGCATGAGCCTTCCCTGCTGAAGGCCCTGCCATGGCTTTCACAGCGCTGGGAAGAAGGCTCTTGGACCTGGCTTCTGCCTTCTTCCCTGCACTTCCAGCCATACTACCTTCCTCTCTGTCTCTCTGCACCAACATGCCAAGCCCTTTCCTACCTCAGGGCCTTCCTGCATCTCCCAGAGGCTTTACTCAACCATAAATCACTGTGTTCCCTTTGCCCCACTTCTCACCACTTATAACTAGCTGTGCACAGGACAGTGTCCCTGCTAAGTGGAAGCTTCGTGAGAACAGGGCCCCTGTCCATGTGAGTGTAGCCGTTCCACTAGCCAAGTGAACAGATGCGAGAATAGCGGTGCTGGATGGGGACTGCAAGGCTCCTGGCTGGTTCTCCTGAACAATGGTGAGTCAGCTTTGGTGGCAGCCGTTAGCATGTGAGCAGGGCCTTCTCTGTAGGAAGAGCTGCCATGCTGCACGAAAGCGCCATCCTCCAGGGTCAGACTGGGCTCAGCAGTTCCCTCAGACTTGGGCCCCCAAGGGCAGTCACTACAGAGTGGGGGGTTTATTTAAAAACAGTGACAGCAGGGGGCTGGAGCTCTGTCAGGCAGGCTTCTGCCCAGGAAGTGGCCTGGCCTTGGGGGTTGCCATCTAAAGTGGGGGTGATTCCTGGTTGGCCGCCTTCCCACCTGTCTGATTGTGGATTCCAAACACTTGGCTCTAGTCTAGAGGGGGCAGGATGAAAGCTTCTGTTGCCATAGTAACTGCAGTCCAAGGCCTAGGCTGGAGGTTTCAGATAAACAACTATTCAGAGAAGTGAAGACAAGGAACAAAGGAGAGAGAGACAAAAATGGGAAAAAAGGCAAGAAGTAATCCTACAGGTGCTGCAAGACACTCTGAAAACAAAACTGTGGAGCTGGGAGTAGAATCCTCCCACAGGAGTGGCCTCCTGCTGTGACAGATCCGGAACAAAAGGCCCCATTGACACAAACATCTGTTACTACTAAACACTTAGGAATCAATATTTCCTAAAGGTTTTTTTTTTCCTTTTTGACTTTAAAGGGTCACTGTCTGCCAGGCTACCAGACCCACCCTTCTCCAACGCCCCAGCCACCGCATGAAGTGACTATTAGAACTTCAATAAAAAATTTGGTCCCTGAAATGGCCTTGTGATAGTTTTTTCCTCAATAGAGACACCAGGAAAATGTCAGAAGGCAAATCCAAACCCACACACTGAAAGATTTGAAACATAACAATCGCATCTTTGGTAGGATGAGTAACCTAGTCCAGTCTAATTTTAAAAGGACACAGCAGATTTAAAACATGGCCTAAATGTGTATTGAAGAGAAGGGGAATCAGGAGGGAAAGCAGAGAACGTTGATGGATCACATGGTGCTTTACCTCAACACCTGCATCTCCTCTGGGGAGTTCCGCAACTCGTCTTGAAGGCGACGCCGGCGCAGGCAGGCCCGCAGCTCCTGCTGTTCCTGGGCCTCAGTGGGGGCCAGCTGCTTAAGCAATAGACACACAAATACACATGCACAAGACACAGTCATTGTTGTCCTCCTGCAAGGTCAGAGCCACCCAATGAAGTAGCTGGCTTTACTTCAGGGAGGATAGTAAACACAGGCTACCTGCTGCACCTTGCACCCCATCAGAAAAGCCAGGAGGCCAAAGTGGCCTCTTAGGTCCACAAACGAAGAACCAACTGTTTATTCTCTTGCTGCCTGTTTGGGAAGCACCCCCTGGTCCAGGAACCCCACCCCATCCCCACCCCTCCCTGGAGACAGCAGGCTTCCCTGAAGGCCATTTCCACTCTGATTCCATCCAGCCCTTTCCTGCTTTGTCTTTCTGCACAGGGTGGGGAAGGTCCCTCCATTTACCTATTTCCCCAACCCTCAGTTTTGTTAAGGGCTGTTTACAGTGCATCCTGCTAATGCAGCCCAGATGATTCTGTTTGCATATAACCAGAAATAGTGCACTGCCTGGATTCACTCTGTGGGCACAGGAGGCCACTGCACCCTGCTCTCTGTCACTCATGTGCTGACTAGGTCCATGGCTATAATCTCCTTAAGGAGGTACTGGGGAGGAAATGTCTGTATCTGGAGGCACTTCTGGAAATTAAAGGTCTCTAACAGTTCATTCAACAGATATTTACAGAGTCTCCACTAGGCCCTGGCGATACTACAGACGCAACCCCTACCCCACGGAGCCTAGCATGTGGCAGGGGCGGAGGCGTGGGGGAGTGTGGAATAAGGACACTAACATCAGAGTGCAGTGCTGACAGAGGTGAAGGAAGAAGCCAAATGCCCCCTGGCCAACCAGAGTGCTCAGAAGGCTTTCCTGAGAAGGTGGTAGGACCTGAGTTGATCTCCAGGGAAAGCAGGAGTCAACCGGGGGAGGAGGAATTCAGGAAGAGGGAAAGCATGGGCAAGGCTTGTCCCCGCATCCGAAATTCATTTTGAAGCTCTCACTCCAAATGTGACTGTATTGGACATGGGGCTTTTTCTTTTTTATACTCACAAGATGATAACTGATTTTAGGTAGGGAAGGAAAGTGGGAGGAAGGGAGGGAGAGGGAGAGAGTGAAAGTGAGAGATAAGCATCGATGTGAGAGAGATACATTGATTAGATGACTCTCATACACACTCTAACCAGGGATGGAACCTGCAACTGGGTGTGTGCCCTGACCAGGAATTGAACCTGCAACCTTTTGGTGTATGGCAGTGGTCCCCAACCTTTTTGGCACCAGGGACCGGTTTCATGGAAGACAATTTTTCCACAGACTGGGGACGGGGATGGCTTTATAGCCCGCCACCAGATGCAGTTTAATTGTCATTTACCATTCACTGATAGGGCTTTGATACGAGTCTGCAAGCGACTGATTTATTACGGTCTCTGTGCAGTCAAACCTCTCTGCTTATGATAATCTGTGTTTGCAGCCACTCCCCAGTGCTAGCATCACATCCTCAGCTCCACCTCAGGTCATCAGTCATTAGATTCTCATAAGGAGTGTGCAACCTAGATCTCTTGCATGTGAAGTTTACAGTAGGATTCGCGCTCCTACGAGAATCTAATGCTGTCACTGATCTGACAGGAGGCAGAGCTCAGGCAGTAATTCGTGGGATGGGAAGAGGCTGTAAATACAGATGAAGCTTCCTCTCTAGCCAGCCACTCACCGCTCACCTCCTGCTGTGCTCACCTTCTGCTGTGTGGCCTGGTTTCTAATAGGCCACAGAGGTACTTGTCCATGGCCCAGGGGCTGGGGACCCCTGGTGTATGGGATGATGCTCCAACCAACTGAGCCACCCAGCCGGGGTGTAAATAGGGCTTTTAAAAAGGCAATTGAGGATAGTAAGGTCATAGAGGTAGGGCCCTAATTCAGTAGGACTAGTGTCCTTATAAGAAGAGACACCAGCCTCCCCACTTTTCTCTCTATCCCTCCCTCCCACCCTCCCTCTCTCTCTCTCTCCCCCTCCCCCCTCACTTCTCCCTCTCCCTATCCCTCTCTCTTCATGTGCAAAGAGGACACAGTGAGAAGGTGGCCATCACCAAGCCAGACAAGAGAGAAATCAAGCCTGTCAGCACCTTGGTCTTGGACTTCCACCCTCCAGAACTGTGAGATAACCAATGTGTATTTAAGCTTCCCAGTCTTTGCTATTTTGTTATGGCAGCCAGGCTGCTTAAGACAACTGTGAAAAAGTTTAGACTTTATCCAGGTTGATGACAAGTTGTAAGATTCAATCTTGCAACTAACTCAATTCACTTTTCTCTACAGAATGCCACTCTGAGCAGAATGTGGATTTCTCTCTCCTGTCCAATGACTTCCTACTTCCCAACTTTGCTATGCTTGCTAATTAATGCTCAGTGCTGCAGACTGACCAACGTGACCTCACTCTGTCTCCACTGGGGAATCCAACTGCTGACCAGGAGAGTCCTGTGAGGTGCCCCCCACCACCTTTGCCCTGAAGAGCACTCCTTTCCTGCTTGGAAGTTCTGCTGTGGGCACTTGTCAAGGACCAGTAGCAGCTCAGTCTTACTCACCCTTCAAGGAAGGAGTCAAGAGGGATGGATGTGCTTGGGAAATATTTCCAAACTTTGTGCCGATTCTAGAATGGCCACTTTCCCTCAGGGGTGTTTGTGTTTTCACATACTGAGAGTTACTGCATGCACCCCAAAGGATGATGAGCTGAGCTGCCCCCTACACCAGGTCAGGGGAAAAGAAGGGATGAGAAGCCTCAGCTCCTACTTCGCCTTGGAGCCCTTGTCAGAAGTCACCTTCAATGGGACTTCCTGGGTCTTCTCAGACCTGGTCTCTCCCACCTTAGAACTTCCACAATGTTTGGTGTTTACCCCTCTTTCATATCTTATTTTCTTCTTCCTTCCCTTTTGTGCTTTTCTTACCTCCTCAATTAGACTATGACCACTTTCAGACCAGGGCTGTGTCTTACTCATCCTTTTATTCCTATAAATCAAGCACAGAACAGACACAGGGAAGGTGTGCAGCTGTGATATGCAGCCAGGCCAGCTTGGTGCCTGCGTTGGTAAGACGGATGTATTCAGGGCGGTTAGAGGCATGACCCCTGAAGAGTCTCAGAAGTGACCCCCTGGGAGTTCAGGCAGTGGGAAGGGTAAAAGAGGAGTGCTCTCTGGGGATAGAGGAGACGGAAAAATTGTCATCAGATGCCTGAAATACATTCATGGTTACCAAGAATAGCACATATCTGATTGTCTCAGAATGGATGTACCCCAGGGAAGGGATGGTGATAGAGGCACACTTACAGGAAACTATTTAACCCTTGCTGAATGCCTACAATGTGTCTGACACTGTGCTAGGCTCATTTACACATTATCCTATTTTCACACCCATTTTTCAAATGAAGAAACTAAGGCTTAGGGAAGCTGGTGAACAGCAGAGCTGGGATTCTAAGCCTGGTCAGACTCTGCACCCAGCTACTTTCCTTTAATCTGCTGTGTGGCCTCTCTTCATGGGACCCTCTGTGACAGACAAACACACTGCTAGCTCTACAGAGGTGGGAGGCTGAGCAAGGCACAGCTCTACTTTGAAAGAGATCATAGTCTAGCTGTGAGAATAGAAGTAAGAAAAAGGGAGTGGGGAAAAAAAGAGGTAAGTTAGTACCAAATACCATGGGAGTTCAAAGTTTCTAGAAGAGTAGTATTGAGTTGTGAGTGGAATGATCAGTCTGGGCTATCCAGAGAATGTGACCCTGAGTTAAATGGTAAAAAATAAATAGGATTTCAAAAGGTAGAAGGAACTTGTAGGAAATCATACAGGTATTGAACAAACTTGGGGACTTTGGAAAATGTTAAATAGTTGCAAGTATAAGGAGCAGAAATGGGAGGGAAACAAGTAACCAAATATTAGGAACAAGAAAATAAGCAGGAAGTGGTTTAGCTGCCATATCCTCGTTAGAATTGGTGGCCAATTTTTAAACTAGAGGCTGTCCTGGGAATGTGCTGACTAGGTCTGGCCTCTGGGTATATTGGTTTACAGAATATTTTTTAAATTAGTAAATTTCACAGAAAAATCCAAATTTTTAACTTCCTTTAAAAAACTAGAGTCTAAGCTATCTTGAGTCCTCCTTTCAACATGACAATTGGTTAAAGTTGAGGACCCACCCACTGGATCCCAATTTGCCACAGTTGTCACCATTCCCTAATCTTTAACAACAACCACTTCATTCTTCATTTCTTGCCACCAAACATCTGAGATTATGATTGAGATTATAACTTGTAATCTCATTGTTTAGCAAAACAAAAGACAGTAAATATCACATAACCACAATGTCATAATCTCTGAGTAACCACAGCATAATCTTTTTTGCAAGTCTTTGCTCAAATGTCCCCTTATCAGAAATGCCTTCTCTGATGGAGCCTTCTAAAACAGCGTTTCCCCAACCACTTTGCTTCATTGTCTTCCTACTACTCATCAGTACCTGACACATTACATGTGTTTGTCAATTCTCTCTCCTATGGCTCTATTGTGAACCCCACAGGGCAGGGGCGTCCCTTCTTGTTTGTACAGCTCTCTCCCAGTAAAAAAGAACAGTGTCTAATGCATAATAAACACTCAGTACATATCTGTTGAATGAACCAATGACTATGACTAGAATTTGACTCCAGAAGTGAAATGTTTAGGGTCACTTTAAACCTACCTTCTGTGCTTTCGCCCAGAATACATCTTCCAGGTGAGTGGCAAACCCTTCACTCAGCCACTCTTCCGTCCAATCACGGGCCCCGATGGCTAGGCCAAACCAGGAGTGAGCAATTTCATGGCAGAGACGGATCCCACAAAGATGGCTCCCTCCAGTCAAGGTGCTCTGAGAGAGGAAGACAATGTGTGGGCTGTGGATAATGGTGGAGAAAATACAGAGTCTTGTTAGAGCCTGTTGGATGGCTGCCCCAGGGGGCGGCGTGCTCAGCCTGGCACTATTACTATATGCACGCGAGATCATGTCAGATAGGCTTGCAGCTCAGAGGCTTCTAGAAATACAGAAAGCGGCAGTTTACATCTCTGGCAGCGGTTCAAGTTACCGTTTTTGCCAAGCAGTCATCTCCGTCATCAACGGCTATTACCTGTAATAAGTAACCTGCAGCCCAGTTTTACACTGGAGAAATTACAATGCAATGGAAGCGTTTACTTGGAAATCTGGGCTGTAAAAGAGAGCAGGTGTGAGAGTGTGAAGCCCATGCTGTCAAAAAATGATCAAAGAAGACCCTTCAGCCAAAAGTCCGAGCGCCTTACAAACAAATTGACAAGTCATGCAGAAGGACAGGAAAAGCCAAGAAGAATGGAACCCAAATTTTTCCATTTCAGACTGGGGCTGGTTACAGAGTTAACAAACTAACAGGTGCCAGGAATGGGTGACTTTTCCTGGATGCTCAGATAAAAGTTGAGACTCTGCAAGGCAAAGACTGTCAATGGAATCACCTCCCATCTGCAGATGCTTACATATTCACATGGCATAAAAAAATTACACAGAGAAAGAGATAGGAGGGAATTAACCTACCCAGGTGTGCAAACGGCCCCAGGGCTGGCACCAGCCAGGGAGATTTATCTAATCTCATTTTCCATACTTTGTTTTGAAACCCAAAATACCATGATTAGAACCGCACAGATGAAATGGGAGGGAGGGAGGCTGAAGAGAGAAGAGGCAAACAGAATACCTCCTATGCTTCTATCTTCAGCCTTTCTCATTATCCAGGACTTGTTTACGGTCTTGTTAATGAAGAATTTGCTTTTTTTTTTTTTTTTTAAATCTCTCCATCAATTGAAAAAAAAAAAAACAGTTGTGAAACCTCACGAATTAAGAAACTGTACACACACTGGTTCCTTCCTTCAAAAGCCATTTGTGAGCCATCATGTGTGCTCAGCACAAGCCAGGACTGCTTGCAGATTTGTCCTCCGCCCCCATGGCCACCAGTAGAGAAAACCCCACCTGTACTTTTCTTGCACAACATCCCCCATTCAGCTCAGAGAGCCCAATTGAAATCACGGAGTCACATGCCAAAATAGACAGCTTTTATGTGAAATAATAACAGGGCAGACACGCAAATAAAAAAGCTTCTGCCAGGCTCCCAGCAGAATCCACCAGAAATTCCAGATAACAAACGGGAGTTGGTGGCATTTAGGACACAGGGGCATTTAGGACCCCGGGGCACCCACAGCATTTCAGAGCACTAATTTGGGAAGAAAAGGAAGGAAGGAAGGGAGGAAAAAGGGAAGGGAGGAAGAGAACTGAGAGGCACAGGAGCTGAAAACTTCCTCTTACTGAGACAGTGACCTGTGGAGAAGACAAACTGTGCAACCTGGTACTTTCGGTAAATGACCCCTCGCCCTGGCATGTGCAGTGCTACAAAGAAAAGCCACAGAAATGTACCAAGTAAATAACATTCCAGACATACTGTTGGCAGCACTTCACCCTTTTGGCTAAAACAAAACACAAGTAACATCAGGCCTTATAAACAGCTCAAAGACAAGCCTGCATCAGAAGGGTCTGGCAGCCAGAGACCCGGGTGACGCACTGGCGCACGGTGGTTACAGGGCCTCTAAGGGTGACCTGTCTGTTCCACCCAGGAACGATACACAAGCTGATGACTGTTCATGGAAAAAAATGCCTGCCCTGTCCGTGCTAACCTGCTCACTGCTTTTTCCCAGTGAGGAAGCGGGGAAGCCTAGGCAAGGCCCATTTATGCAAATATGAAAGTCTGGGATGGCCTGAAGGAATGCACAAAAGCAGCTGGGTGTGGGGGGGAGGGACATCGTGTGTCCCTGCCCTTTAATTGTTCCCCTCCAGCACTCTTTCTCCACCAGATCCTCTACCCCACCTGCCAGCAACTTGGGAAACACAACCCCGGCCCTGGTGCAGCTAGGTTGGGCTCAGGACAGGCCTTGGCATTGCTGGAATCCCACCTAAATTCCGGCTTCCCATCCTCAATCCTTTCTTCCTGGCTGGGGATAAATGTATTTCCTGCTGTCCTCTGAGAAAGACGGAAACTTAAACATCCTCCTACACAGGAAGGAAGGGCATTTTATTGGACATAAATGACCCAACCTATTATCAGTGGGAAAACGTGAACTTCTGCCTGAAAAGCAATTTTCCAGTGGAGAACCAGACCCCAAATCCTCCTGCAGTGGAGTATGACCTGCTGTCTAAGGCTGGGTTTTACCTGCAGGCTACTCTGGGGATTGGTTATATTTCCTTCTGAAGGAAATGGCTTCTTTCTAAAAACTAAATTAAAACATGGAGTGAGGTTTTGATAGCCTTTCTCAAGGATTGTTAACAAAATCCTGACATAAAAGGACCAATAAAATACTCTTTCAAGGAGAATTTCCTCCTCCTTTTGACTGTAAATACATATCAGAATTTCTCATGTTAGGTACAATTTGTAAATGTTTTTTTCAACAGTGAGTGAAGAAAAGTATAAAGCTCATAAGTTCACTTCAAGGAGAAATATTAAATATCCCTTTACCATGCCCACCTTCAAAACAGAAAGAGTGAGTCAGAATTTTCTACACCTACCTTAACCTTGATTTATAAGTGTCACCCCTGGGCTCCTCTCAGAATCTTACTCACGGCCTAATCAGCCAGCAGCCCATCAGTTTCCCTCTGACAGCGCCCATTTGAAAACAGCTTTCCTTTTTTCTTTTTTCTCCCTGAAAGGGCCTGTGTCAATTGCCTCTACAAATGCCAAATTGTCGATTCATCATCATTACAGAGGACGAAAGATAATCACTAGAACGACATCTTCATCAGAAAAATGATTCTTTCTTTTTTTTAATTGTAGAGAAAATTTATCATTTTTCCCAAGTAAGAGATGGGCAGGAAAATAATATTTTCAACTCTCAAAAAGCACACGTCCTCTTGCTTGTGTTCTCCATAATAATTTCTCTTTCGCTACAAGTGCTGGAGGAGGACCACAGGGGCAGAGCAGGGGCAGTGTGGAGAGACTGCAGGGTGCATGTTCTCATTCTTTCCAAGGAGACCACCAGCAAGGCTGCCTCCCTGCAAAGGCTACAAAGGTTTTTGCATGTCTGCCACTCTGCCCTTCCGAGATTAAAAATACTATTTTTGGTCTGAAGAAGTTTTCTTAACACTGTTCCTAAAAACTACCTCTCCACTCAGATTAGAAGGCTAATTTAAAAGATGCTTCCACCAGAGGAGGAAGGAGTGCCTTCATTACTCTCAGGAGCTGCTACAGTCCTTTGGGAGGAATTCAGTTTGGGGTGGAAATGAAGAATTTCATCAGATCTTAAGTAGCAGCTGATTGTGATTTACTTCTGCTTTGTCCAGAGAGACAGGACCAGCATGGGCCACGTTGCTGCTCAGCACTTAAGGGCTCAGGCTGCCTCAGCTGGTCAGAGCGGGCTGCCGGTGGGACCAAGAGGACAGGAAATAGCTTTTGGTTTAGGACAAGGGGAGCCCTAGGCCACCCTGCCATTATCCTGGAGCAGATACCAGTTCCCCTCAGGGGAAGCACATTCACTTTTTATACAGATCCCTGGGAGATGTGTCCAGGAAATGGAGATGCATCCAAAAAATAGATTTACATTAATCAAATTTGAACTTCTCATGGGTTCAGAGTTTTTCTCAATTTCAATGACATGTGGAGCCCAATTTCCCATTATAGAAAGGAAGGAAGAACCAAGAAAGAGGAAAACTGAAGCTCCTTTCCCTCCAAAGTCAAAGTGAATTGTTCTAAACATCTCATAACCACATGAAAGCAACTTTTGCGTACCTGACCTAATTACTTGCTAATTTAATTTGGACAACTGTATAGTAGACTCATAGAAACCTGGGGCAATCTGAAAGGGAAGACAAATGTCCTTACCCCTCCCTTAGGTTCAGAACAGGTTTTCTCTTTCCTTCATAAGGTGTGACTTGGTACTCGCCAGTACTTAGAACAAATGCTCAGCTCCTGCCCCTTCATCTCTGCAGTGAAATCCCTCAGTCCCTCTCCTGGATAGTCTAATATAGGAAATGCATCTGTTACCCCAAAGGCAAAGGGACAGCCTGGGTGACCTGGTAGGGTCCCTGCTCCCTTCTGGCTTTCAAACTGCTCTATAGTCAACTTCATCTGCCCCATCTGGCACCCTGCTATCACCACATAGTTAGTCTTTAAACTACAGACCTATTTAGGAGATGAAGGAATGCTCTTTCGGGGACATGAGACGTTCAGTAGCCTGAGGTGGAAACCAGTTCTAAAAACTTGAGGAAAACTTACTACATCTGATCAACATGGGGATTTAGGTTTGAGAGAAACAGATAACATTAGTCAGTGTAAGTTTTTCTTTAAAAATTCTAAATAGCAAATAGGCAGTAAAACGTCTACTCATTTTATCTAAATGAGTTTTGATTTGGAATACCAATGTGACTACAGCAGAGAGTGACTTTGGAAGCCCCAGGTCTGCATTCCAGAGACTCCTACCGAAATCATATCCTCCTTCTAAAGACATATATTATCATAAAGACTCTGTGGTAGGCACTGTATTATACATACATTATCTCATTTAATCTACCCCATGACCTTAGGAGACAGATTTTATTATCCCCATTTTACAGATGATGAAGGCGAGACACAGAGAAGTTAGTAACGAGCTCAAAGTCACACATCTGGCAAGTAATGGAGCAAATACTTTAACTCACTGAAGTCTTATTCTGGTCCATTCTGACAGGGTCACTGGGGTTAGACCTGTGACTTCGGGGCTTCCATCTTTCTATGCCAGCTGAAGCCCAGTGGTCCATCATCTTTGCTCTCCATAAAGCTCCCTCTTCAGAATCCACCCAAGGGAAGCCCTGAGACTTCTGTTCCTTAAATTCACATCACAGCCAGAGCTGGCTTGA